TCTCCATGCTGTTGCAAATGGTAAGAATTCCTTCTTTTTTACCGCAGCGTAGTATTCTATTGTGTAGATGTACCACAGTTTTTTAATCCACTCATCTGCTGATGGGCACTTGGGGCTTTCTTTCTTGACCAAGGACTTCCTAAAATACTTCTGAATATGATTTTCATTCTCTTTGACAATTTGACATGCCTAACAAATTGTTGAGTACACCCTCAATACTCCTTGAGAATCTACTATGTGAAAGTTAACACATAACACATCACAGAAGAAACTAATGTGATTCAAGATGGCTTCCTTGATGAGTTCACTGGTAGGAAAAATGCAGCAAGCACATCAGCAAACAACTATAACTCAAGACAGAAAGGGGCACATGCCTTAAAGGGAGAGTAGAGAGACACCTTCTGTGGGGGTCTATAGAGGAGAGAGCTGGCTTCCAGCTGACTGTTTCAAGAAATGTTTTTGGAGGCTGTGCACCTGAGTTGTTTACTGAGTTGGGTAGAGTTTGGACTTAAAGAAATGGGAAAATAATAATAATAAATCTAATAGAAGGAAATGGGGAGATTTAGCCCATAATTCTTTGAGGTTTATTTTGCCCTAAAATTGTGGATTCTATGAAACTCAGATTGTCTATGACAGTCCATTATCAGATCTTGTTTACAATGGAAATAAGTAAGATCTATAGCTAAAAAATAGCTTAATATTTACATCTCTGCACAACTTTATTTAAACAAGCTTACCAAGCAGTTAAGAAAGTGTTGATTCATGTTCTTGATAAATGACTTGGGAAATTACTGTGTATGAGTTTACAAAGTAGTGTTCTTAGCCTATTCTTGGGTTTGAAGGGACTGGATAAGTTATTTGGGGAAATTTTCATCTTAAAGTAAAAAAAAAAGTGTTTTATAAAACTTTTAAGTCAAAATCAAAATAAAAGATTTTAAATCATTTATTTAAGTATGCATTAAATATCTATACACTAAAAACAGAAGACTACATTGATATCCCAAAAGAAGTCTTTTAAGGGTTAAAATTTTTAAAAATAGATACACTATTTACCTCACTAACTACCCCTATTTTATTAATCTTTAATCATTAAAAAATATTAGATTGCGCCCTAGCCAGTTTGGCTCAGTGGATAGAGCGTTGGCCTGCGGACTCAGGGGTCCCAGGTTCGATTCCAGTCAGGGGCATGTACCTTGGTTGCGGGCACATACCCACTAGGGAATGTGCAGGAGGCAGCTGGTCGATGTTTCTCTCTCATCGATATTTCTAACTGTCTATCCCTCTCCTTTCCTCTCTGTAAAAAAATCAATGGAATATATTTTTAAAAAATATTAGATTGGACTTTAAAATTATGAATCATTTTGTCTACACATAAATGAATAGATGCACAAATTATAATTCATATAAATTATAACAGTATCAGCAATTCTTATGTTAGTTTTTATTTTGCTTTTATAGTCAGAAAAGAAAACTAAGTATGCTTTTGCTTCTGTGATCATCACCAGTAGAAGCAGTCACTATAAAAGGCAGTGTAGATTAAAAACTAGATAACAAGAACTTCCACATACCAAAGAGGTCAGCAACGAGAAATTCATTTCCCAGCCCAGCCAGCATGGTTCAATGGGCAGCCAGCAGGTCACGGTTCAATTCCCGGTCAGGGCACATACCCAGGTTGTGGGCTCAACCCCCAGTGGGGGGCGTGCAGGAGGCAGCCAATCAATGATTCTCTCTCATTGTTTATGTTTCTATCTCTATCTCCCTCTCCCTTCCTCTCTGAAATCAGTAAAAGTATATTTTAAAAAAAAAGAAATTCATTTTCCAGGTTATCCCTAATTCCTTCATTTTGTTTATCCAAGCCTTCTCCGATATTAACTATTAAACTAACATTTTAGCTAGTTTCATAAAACTTTTGATTTTTTAAACTAATTAGGGAAAAATTCCTGACCTATTAAGGTACATGTTTCTTGACTATCAACAAGACAACAGATCTTTACAATTCATTACCTCACTATGGATTCTCCAAGGCCATAATTGTTTAAGGATTCCAACCCACGGAGAAAGTAACCAAGAACAGTTATATTTACTGTAAAAACATAAACCAAGCCATGAGAATGTTGAGCACTGTTCAAATGAAAAGGAACTTTACCCTTTGAAACAGCATGGAGAGATCTGAAGAGTACTATGCTAAGTGAAATAAGCCAGTCAGAGAAAGACAAGTATCACATGATCTCACTTATATGTGGAATCTAATGAACAAAAGAAACTGTTGAACAAAATAGATCCAGAGACATAGAAGCATGGAACAGACTATCAAATCTCAGAGGGAAGCCAGGGATGGGTTGGTGGGAGGGGAGAGATCAACCAAAAACTTGTATGCATATATGCATAACCCATGGACACAGACAATAGTGTGGTGAAGGCCTGGGGTGGGG